CTTAGAGAAACGTAAACTCCCTAACACAATTCAAAAATTATGACCCCAAATCCTAATGCACCCATAACAAACTCAGAGTCCCGCCAAAATTCTGTATACTGTTTCGATCGACCTAAACCAGTTTTCAAACCAAAAATTACTTTGCTGAAACAGCCGACCGATAATCCCTGACTAGGTTTTGCCGTTTCTTGATATGTTTTCTCCGCTAGGCATGCTCAGTCGGCTTCAAACCGTCCGAAATGTGATGCTAACAAATATAATCTAAAACACTAATGAAGCTAACAAAATATGTCCGTAGCGTATTATTTGGAATCTCGAAAATCTGTGCTATGTTGAAAGCAGTTGCATCACTATTTTATTAATGGTGTCATCAATTACAAATTGAACCTAAAATATTGGACACTTTCCAATTTGGTTTCGAAATGATTCGGATTCTATGCCTTAATTCGTCCAACGATTTTGGGAAATTTCAGCATTTGACGAACATCATAATCTATGTAGGTCAAATGTGCTTGAAGGAGTGTCAGAAACAATGTCTCTGAAACTTTGGAAGTAATATTAGTGGAGAATTATACGGAGGCTCAAACATCGAAAATGGGATACGATCATGAGGTTTTAAAATTGAGCAGCGTAAAGTCTCATGAAATCTTTACTAGGAAAAGAAAAAAATAGTTTGAGTTAAACTACTATAATTCTAAGAGAAACAAATGATTTCAAGCATAATCAAGTAAGGCTACGGTTACGGAGAATGCGAATTCTGACGAAACTTTGATCTGACGTGTCCTGCTTTCCAATGGGCACTTACACTTTAAGCGATCAGCACTTCGGAGTACGCACGAGGTCGTCAGAACGATTTTAGCATTCAAATATTTTTGATTTCTTCGTAAGATGTTCGCCTTTTTTGCGCACTTACTTGGTTATTCCACCATGTTCATCAGTTAATTTTTGGGTATCAGTATTGATACACACATGACTTGCCAGGAACACTCATTTTTAAATCTGAAAATCTGTGGTTCTCGTGGTGCGTTGCTAACCACATATTATGGATACTTCTTCTCAAGAATGCCAGATGCACCTTTGAACTAGGGTCACTCTGTGCATATGCCTAATCTACTTTCACTACACAGGCCATGTAGGGAGACATTTATCAACATAAGGATCCTTACTCTTCTATCTCTATGTATATTTATCTGCTTATGTTATCCTCATAAAAATTTGGATCTATACAAAACACACAATGATGTACATAGTTACAATACACGGAACATGCATAAGTTTGATATTCCTAAACATCGTCTACAAAGAGCTAGAAACATTTCTGACTACTATGGAATCCACTTGTATAATGCTCTTCTCAAGGCACTCACTGTTACTATAGAATTGAAGCTTACCTTATCAATAACGCTTTTTATACTATCGAAGAATAATATTAAATGATAACCTTTTCGATCTCTTATAATGGTGTTTTAGTGAGCTTGTTTACTTTTGCTATGTTTGTTGATTTGATCAGATGTGTTTGTTCTATAGCTTTGTATTTAGTTTAAAATAATAATATCATTTTACAGTTTTTCTGTGAATGTTGCTTTTTACAGTTTTCTGTTACTTGTAACTTTAAATATTTGCAATTTAACTTCCACCAATAAAGGAATGAAATGAAATGGAACCAAAACAGAACAATTTGCTGTGCGATATGAAATATGAGAGATAAAAATTATTAATGGACCTTTCAGTCCCTCTTTTGTTATATCTACTAAAACGTGAACGCCTTGCCCTGACGAGGATCTCGGACATCAAAACTGAATTTTTTTGGACGATTTCAGAGTACGTTTGGATGCTCATAGCATTTGTGGGAAGTCTTAACATATTCTAGTATTATCGAAAATGTCGAATTGTCCTTTTCTAGTGTGAAAGTATGCCTGTAATCACATGTTCTTAAGTAATCAGGTACAACACAAAAAAGTGTTGCAACTACATAAAAAACTTTTTCGAAAAAATCCTTCTGTAGATACCTAAATATTGTTTCGAGCAAATATTGAAGTAAAATTGGCAAAATCTAAGACAAAAACTGTTGAGAATTTTCGAAACTGTTGCATCATACTAGTACATAGAAATACATACCATCATCAGAAAATAGATATGGCTTAGATTATAATGACTTTAAAAAACGTGAAGTACTACCTTAACAGTGGCACAGAAAGCCACTCTAACTCAATTAAGTACCTGACCATTGCTACCCTTGTAATTGTCTGTGTCACCTTCCAGCATATTGTTGTATGTCCAACATTTGTCAAGACCGAACTAATAGTACACTACTTCATTTCTCTTACCCCAAAATCTCTCATGAGCAAATTATTGAGGTAGTGGCGGAATTCGGGCATATAGGTGTGCGCACCATACCATTTCGGCCAATAGTCATACCGATCCACAGGGCGGTTCCACGAGTAATTTGGCAACAATGTAGTAGGGTACTTAGTGCGCGGCACGTGTTCGTAGTCGATCACCTGACGCTCCGGTATACGGACAGGCTGGAGGTCGTACCTCAGCTGTACTGGCAGGGGTGGATGCATCTTAGATTGTGATGGCGGTAGTGCTGTAATGAGGACAAATAGGATGAGGGAGCGTCAGATATCGACCACTGTGAAAAAAGTATTTTCTATTGAAGTCCTAATGGCCACTACACTTCCACAAAGCACTGTACTACTTCAAATACAATCGTTCCCATTGAGATCTCGGAAGACAAACACAACATGTACAATGAAACAGTGTTTGTTTTCTAAAAGCGATTTTAAATAACATAGGCCTTATCAATCTAATATCCCATGTACCGCGAAGTGTCCATGACATTGTGTCAATGAGTGGAAGGGGAAAAGTGAAAAAGTATGTCCTGACGTTGCGTTGGTTCAAAATTCACTGTTGGTACCTACGTCTCTATTATTTACGGTATTACGCTTGTAACAATTCTTAAACATAAAGTCAACACTGTAATGCCTAAGCGTACGAAAAAATCAGCAGTAGTCAATTTCAACCATACAGGGAGGACAAAACTTGAAACACCTACATTGAAAAGTGTCGAAAGATAGAGTAGTACCTCCTGGACCACATGGAAAAAACATTAGCAGTATTACACGAAATCTGTGATGATTGTACCGTATTTTGTTGTATTTAAAAATATTGTCAGACTTGAATCCTGTTTTGCAGAGAAGGCTACAGCACTTGTGGAACAATATTTGGGTGCTATAAGTATGGGTAAATGTTTAAAAGTAGTAATGGATGGGAGTAGCTAAAGTAGCGAAGCGTATGAGCAGAAGTCAACGTTTCCGACTCAGGAATATGGGATATTGGACAGGTCAAGTTACTAACTTTAAATATTCTCTAAGACCAAGAACGATCAAATATTCTCTAAGACCAAGAACACTCGCCAGGTTAAATAAAGGCTATTATTATTATTATTATTATTATCTGCCAGCTGAGCCAACGTTCTCTAGAAGAAACGATACCACAAAAAGAAGAGGGGTATTATAAAGAAATACGTATCTTAAACAATCTACAATAAGGTGCTCAAGGTATGTACATTAAAAGAATGATGTATATTTGGGCTCCACTATTTTTTCAATTCTCTTAAACTTTTAGTCAAAAAATGAATACACCCCTATGATTCTATACTGTTTACTGTTCTTTGACGCCAATCATTTAATGATTTGGGCACTCATAATGAGAAAGCGCTATTATGAGAGATAAATTATGTTTCCAAAAAACTATTATTTATTTGGTCGCAAGCAACATCAACCGAATTTTTTTAGACGATTTTAGTGATATCAAAATCAGATACCGTTACATATGATGCATTCATATACATGTTCATTAAGCCTTATTCTGCATATCTTTCTTGTCAGAAATTAAGGGATAAACATGAAAACTTCTCTGTTAAATAGAATAGAATCAAAAAATTCACTGAAAACACTATGTCTTTTATAGGTTCATGAAAGTATATACTGGAACCAAAATCAAGGATATTTACTTGTATTTCAGCAAGGCTGAACGTTGCATCTGCAAGGTGCGTGCAGAAAATCGTTTCGTGGCTTTTATTCCGTTGAACATATTTTTGTTTTAATACCTTGTTGAGTTAATTTTTCCGCATTTAAAACTACACTCGTTAGCGGGCATTTCTTTAAACAATTCCATGTGTTGATTTAATCAACAAACACTTGACAACCCAGTGTACTATACAGGGTGTCCCAATATACCAGGAACGTATTTTCAGTCTTAAAATAAGTCGATTGGACATGCTTTACCTCTATGCAAAGGTACTTCGTTTGTCCGCCAGATTTTTTCTTCAAAATACATTTTTCTGTTGGTTTTTGGAACCGATAGTCCGATTTGAATGAAATTTGAAACACATCTGTTTTGCTACACGTCCTAATATTTTAATGTCGCAAAAAACCTTATATTTAAAAGGGTTGCGAAAAAATATTAGGACGTCTAGCAAAACACCCGTATTCAAAATTTTATTCAAATCCGACTATCGATTTCAAAAATATCTGAAAAAAATGTGTTATAAAAGGAAAACTTTGTCGTCGTCTAACGGACAAACGGAGCTCCTTTGCATAGATGTAAATTATGCCCAATAGACTTATTTTGTGTCTAAAGATACGTGGTACTCCTATGTCCACGGAATATTGGATCACCCTGAATAAACAAATAACTTAGCCCACTGTTCTCTTGGCTGACACATAACCTAAAACTATCAAAATGATCACGACTTTTACGATATCGATTGGTTGTTCACACACCTCTCTTCAGACCTTCAAAAACTTCCACAAACAAAAATAAATTTAGTATATCTGACAGCTGGATTTCAAAAATAAATATCTGTCGCCTTGGCCTTCTTGATTTGACTGATATTCAGTCATATCGAATTCCAATGTACCCGATATATCGTGTAGATGTGTATGATGGTGCAAAAATGAGTAAAATGGAATGAATAATAGAAAAGTACTTACAAATGCACAGCCAAATACGAAAGTACACAAGAGATATGTATCAGAAATAACAGTTTTTGTGATACTAACATATAATAAAAGGCGAGCGGGATACGCGAAACTTTCTGGCAGTACGCCAGCCATAACCTGTTGCCATTTTAAATATTCGAAATTCTATTTCTGCTCCCAAGGAGGTCGCGTGTGGCAGCAATATTCACGATTTGCTCATTAATCTAAATTAGTTTTGATTAAAATCTGCAGATACGGTTGGATAGGAAAGACATAATGTGAATAATTACAGAAATTCATTCATATCAGAGGAAAATACAGTTGGGAAGTGGAATGGAGACAAATATAAACAGAATCACTATAAAAGATGATCCTAAATATTTCGACAAGCGTATTACGTAACCCATCAACTAGAGTCAAACCCTATGTCTATGGTGACCCACAAATAGTGTTTTCCAACTGATTCAATAAATGATAATCTCTTATAAATCACAAAACATTGCAACTTGTGAAATGACATGGAATCGGCTCAGTTTTATAAAAAAAATAAACTTACATATTTCAACAGATGTAAACTGAGAATAGATTGCAAAATTTTTGGGGTAAATACATTAAAATTGAAAACTGTGAAACGTGCTTTTTCCGTAGGCCCCGATGAATGAATCTATGGCAATTCATAGGCATTCTCTAACTGCAACCTTACTTATCTTTCCCACTATACCCAATGAAAACATGGGCTGTAAGGTATTTTCTCACAATTAGTTAAGCTCCTACCTACTTCCAGCACCTACTCTGAGATAATAAACTAATACTAAACCGCAACAGGTGGCTCTCCGGTTGTACCGGCAGAAGATACTAAGCTTGCTTATTTCAGATGCATATTATTGAATTTGCGAAATATATGCAAGAATCAAAGCACATTTCATGTATAACACCATATACGTAACTCCAATCGTTTTTGAGAAATATCAAATTTTGTGTGAAGCAACACCATTGCAGAAGGTTCATAAAAGCCTATGAATTTTTCGCACATATATTACTAGCTTTTATTTAACTTGATCTGTTTGTTAGTACTTAGTATGTATGCGTGGGACAAATCTTGAAACTAAAATTTGAATCAGTTAATCTTAACTACTTTGAATCTAATATGCCAGATGGTACAAAATACATAGTAACCCCTATGACACGGCTACCAAATGACAGAGCTTGATAGAAAAAACACAATAAGCAAAGTGACGCCATCTTAACTACCTCATGGGTATCAAATGAAAGGTTTCGATCAGAGAAACGCAATAAGCAAAATAACGTCATCCTAGACCCAATAATACGGCCAAATACTAATTTATCATTACCACAATATCCTCTATGATATATGTATCGAATACAAAAGGCTTGATGAGCGAAGCACAATAAGTAATTCGAGGTCACTCTAAATCCAATCTGGCCGCCGTATAATATAACAATGCGATATACTTTTTAATAAATTGACGCAAACTTGTCGAATTGTGGCGGGTTTGATTCTTCTTAACCAATACTCTGGTCCTGGGATCTGGTGATTAAGTTATCATACTAAAATTCAGCTCGCGAACATTAGATAGTACGCAAATATATAAAAATTAATGTATGGACAGGCATTTTAGGAAACAAAGTGATTGGTCCATTGTTTATTAAAGGAAATTTGAAGGAGACATTTATTTGGATATATTGGAAAACACCATCAATCCGCTTATCACTGAAACTATTGAAAACCAAATCGAAGAGGATGGAAACCCTATACTTGATGAGGCTGAAATATATTTCCAGCAAAACGGCGCTCCTCCTCACTATGTTTTTCCGGTTCGGCAATGGCTTGACGACGAGTTTCCAGATAAATGGATAGGGCGAAGAGAGCCTATGGAACGGCCTGCTAGATCTCCTGATTTGACGCCATTAGACTTTTTTCTATGGGACCATTCGAAATCTATTATGTTTACTTCTCAACCTAAAAGTTTCGATGAACTTCGTCAACGCATCATCGAAAGCTGACATGGTATCCCACCACATGTTTTTGAAAATGTCCGTCAGGAATTTGAACATCGCCTATATCATTGTTTGGCCAATAACGGGCAACATTTTGAACACATATTGAAATAAGAAGTGATATTTTCGTGTGTTTTTGTTTTCTATCTGAACAAATTAAGATAAATAGAGAGATTTTACCGATCTTAAAAATTTAAACTTCAAGATAAATGACTTTGAAAGACCTTTTAAACAAGCAACTATTCGATACCCCTTGTCGCTTAAAATGTTTAAGGGGATTACCCTGGGGGGGGGGGGAGAGGGTGCAAGGGGGGTAAAGTAGACAGATATTTTGGCACCCTGTATACTTAACACTTTCCCACAAAAGCATGTTAGGCTTAAACAGCAAGAAAGTAAAGGGTGTGAGTCGGTTTTATGTGAAAACTTGAGAGAAAGGAGCTTCAATATCGTGTAAAGGTTAGTTAAAGGTTAGTAATACCGTATATTTTCAATGAAAAGAAAATAACTGATTTTTTAGACCATTTTATTAACAGTTAAAAAAAAACTTGTGTTTTGAAGTATATCTTTTATTTATTGTTGTCTTTGCCAAAGGATTTGTAGCAGGTCCCTTATAAAAGAGGGTCCTCATCGTTCGATATTTTGATAATTAATAAAAAAATCAGACGGACATTAAGTTGTAACAAATGTCAAAAGTAATTTTTCCAAATGAAAACCTGGTTTTTATAATCTCCTCATGCTAATTCAAAAATAAGGACAGGTTTTCTACTACACTCTGTACGGTTTTTACTATCTGAGTTGCGTGACATTTAAAAAATAATGTAGATATTTGTTTTTAGTAAGGCATTTCTTTATACTTGCACCACCATGAAGGCCTACGCCCCCGTGGATGCCGTGGGGCTAGAGGGGGATACAGGGGAAAGGGGGGACGCCACACGGACTTTAGCGAGGCAACACGTGAGCATGCACCATGCCCACATTCTGGCCCTGCCTTAGAGGTCCCCCGGGTGGTATCTCCACGTTTGACAGTCAGGGACCGTCGACCGTCCTCGGACAAGCACAACATCCATAGCCAAGAGCAAAATTCTTTTGGTATATGATTCGGACCCCCGCAGCATACGGCGACTGATTAGTGGACCTATAACGTCTAGACTACGCCACCGCTGTTGCCTAGTCTGGAAATAATCCAAAAAGTCACCCCATATTGTCCCATATTTAGAAAGCACTCAGTATGACTTTACCAGGCGTACCCAATCATAGATTCACATAACTGGTTTCCGGCATTTTGATTTTTTAGCTCAAGCAGTATAACACGACAACGAATAATAAACAAACTGATTAATAATATTCATGTTTATTATTTAGTTACAGCATCAGAGTCAATTTATAGAGCTTTTCAGAGGGAAAACAGGCAATATGCAATTAGTAATGTATACACCTATGCAACTTTGCAGCTATAGTTCTAACCCTATTTATCGACACATGCGTAGAAATTAATTGAGTACCCACGCGATGCCCTAATCGACCGAGCGCCGACGCGACGCGGCAGTAGATATTGCGCGGGCGACCAGGTTCGAGACCTCAAAGTGCTACGAAAAAGTCATACATTATGACTCATTTCTAATAACTCACTGCGCCAAGGTTAACCATACTGAACATACCATAAGAACAGCCCCATGGAGGAATAGAAAACGACTAAATAGTCGTGATAAATAAATTTGCAAATAACGCGTGTTTTCAAAGTTGGGTCATTCATTTTAATAGCTATTAGAACTCGCCAAAAGAAGATGATATACCAAAAATAACCTATATAAAAGTTGCATAATAGGAGAGTTAGTTTACATCATTAAAAATCATTAAAGAAAACATTATCAAGTTAAAAACTGTTCAAAATTATCCCCAATTGTTCAATTAGTGCAAAATCATGCTCAGCGAATCCACGACACTTTACAAGCTTCGAAAATATAATCCTAGTATCCACGAACTAAATCACAAGCATTTTCAGTGCACATTATTTAGAGCTTCATGAACTTCTCGTCTAAAATGTGCTGGAGCCCCATCAAGTAGGAACCACATATTCTGTCTGACATTTCGAGGAACATCTTTTAATAATTGTGGCAGATTGTGAATAAATTTCACCGGTCAGTCGAGGTGGAAAAAAGTAGGGTCCAATAAACATGCCATTTACGACGCCAACCCAATGAAAATCTATATTGAAAATGAGTTCTTTTTTTCTTGTTATGAAAATTGTGCACTTAATTTAATTTCTTAAAAGCTGTCTTCCTCAATTTGTAACATTGCAGGTTAGCATATGTTTCAGTGTGACCTGCTCGTTATTCTTTTGAATATCCTGTGTCACGAAGTCTAATAACTGAACTTACAAACTGGCTGGGCTGCATTTTGTTGGCATTCTCCGTAGGCTAGTATTATGTCCTCCGTTTGTTGTTTTCGTAAACATCTGTCGTTTTTTTTGCACAAAATAATCAGACAAATAAAAGTATACGGTATAAGACTGGCACAATTGATCGAACCAAACGCTCGTACAGAAAACCACAGGTTAACACGAAATTTTTTCCAATATTTAATAAGCGATAAGAGTAGTAAACAAAAACGCTAAAATTTTACATGGCAGTGGTCAAGAATATCAAAAAATCTTTGTAATAACATTCTTATTTTTAAAATGTTCAATCTTTCACTATTTCTTTTATTATGCAACTTCTATATAGGTGATTTTTGGTATATCAACTCCTTTTGACGAGTTAAAACAAAAGACTCAACTTTGAAAACACCCTGTATATCCTATACTACTAATTTGCGGAGTAGATGACCTTAAACAGTAGTATCCTTACTTTTATTGCTCAAGATGATTACATTATAAAAACTGATGATAGAAACTGACATTTACTACAATTTAATTTTCATCCGACTTTTCAACAAAAGTAGACGCCCTTTTATAAGAACAGTTGCAAATCGTACGGCAAGGATAAATAAAGATATACGCAAATGCGTTGAAAGGGTTTTATGGACCCAAATTTATGATTTTTTACACAAAATGTGATATTTCTCAAAAATTGTTAGAATGTTATCCATGAAATGTGGTTAGAATCTTCCGTAGATCTTAAAAATAGAATATCATACAGAGTGATGTATTTGAAATAGGCGAGCTGGTACCTACTTCCGGTACAACCGGATGAACCACCACTTTGAAATTTTTACGGAAAATTTTCATTACCCGTAATACATTTTTCATTTATTCTAAGTAACTAAATTATTTGGTTTAATTAAGCTGAATTTTCTGGAACCAGTTTAATTGAAAGTGATACTATTAAACTAATTTGCTTGAAAATAACTAACCATGTGCCTGTTTTATTATTATTATTATTATTCAGAAGAATGCAATTTGTTTATTTAAATTCGAAACATATACGTTTAATTCTAAATAAAATATTTCATCAAGAATACGCAATAGTCTAATCATATTAGACGAAAATACCCCTGCTTTGCGAAATAATTGTAAAGTCTGGTTTTATTGCTGCAAGTTGTTCAAGGGGGTACTCAAAACATGCACGCATAAAATGGGTACACCAATTTTTGTGGGAAAACTTTTTATTCGACAACAAAGAATGAGAAAACGTGTTTTTTGGAATCCAATCGAAAGCGTTGGCAGCAGCGAGGAAACATCTAACAGTACTTATGAGACCTACAAAATGAGAGCACACGTAAAAAGATCCGACTAATAGCAAAAAAGTTATGGCTAAAAACCGAGGCAAACTGCAGGTTTTGGCACTTGTTGGTAATGCGATGATGGTTTCTCGCAAATATTTGAAATTCCTCAAATTTGTAGGAATCGTACTTCTAAATAACCACAACAAAATTGGAGTAGATTGATCAAGCAGTTTTTTGAGAATTTCCAATTGTTTATCCCAAAAGACCTGTTTTCCAGCCATCATTACTACTTCATTGAGCAATATACAGGGTTAGTTCAAAGGGGATTTTATAGCAAAAAACACTGGTTTACCTTGCCGATATAAATCGCAAACAATTCCGGAAGGTAAATGTTATTTTTATGCAAAAAAGGATGAGTTACGTTTTCTCTACTAAACAAATTCAAACATTTCGTATTTGTGAGTAATTCGCAACCAAAGATGATAGATACATCCGCCTTGTTTTGAAATGTATATAGTAACGTATGTTTTTCGAACATCGTAGCGCATTTGTTCAAATACTCACAAATACGAAATGTTTGAATTTGTTTAGAAGAAAGAACGTAACCTTTGTTTTTCACATAAAACTAACAATTATCTTCTGGAATGGTTTGTGATTCATATCGGCAAGGTAAACACGTGTATTTTGCTATTAAATGCTCTTTGAACGAACCCTGTATATTGCTCAATAAACTAGCAATGAGGGCGGGAAGACAGGTGTTTTTACAATTAGAAATTCTGAAAAAACTACTTGACCAATATAATCCAATTTCGCTGTTGTTATTTAGAAGTATGAATCCTACGGATTTGAAGAATTTCAAGTAGTTGCATGAAGCTATCGTCGCATAACCAACAAGTGACAAAACCTGTATTTTGCGTCGTTTTTCGGCCATAACATGTTTCTTATTAGTCGGATCTTCTTACGTGTGGTCTCATTTTGTAGATCTCATAAATACCTAAACATCTTATATGAAATGTTTTTTCGTTCAACATTTTCGATTGAATCCCAAAAATACGTTATCTCATTCTTTGTTGTCAAATAAAAGGTTTTCCCACAAAAATTGGTGTATCCATTTTATACACCATATTTTAAATACCTCATTGAACAACTTGCACCAATAAAGCCAGACCTTACAATTATTTCGGGGAATTTTGATAATATGATTAGATTACAAATAATTTCACCTAAACTAATTAAAAAAAATGTAATAAATATGATTAAATTGTTTTACTTGGAGCATGTAAACTAATTCTATTAGTTCATCGATTTTAAATAAATTTGTGTATTAAATCCAAATAACGGTTTAATTTTTTTAATAAAATAATTACGTATTTGTTTAGTTAATCTAGTTTCATAGATTCACGAGAACTGTTTTAGAAATATGAGTTCAATTAAAATAATTAAACTTGTTAGCTATCACATAGTTAACTAAATTTGTTAATTGGCCTAAAATTTTTTTTAATGTTTCCAACATCTCAGTGTTGAAGCAGATTGTGCAATTTACATATTACACAATGAGATATCTTTCTAGGAAGATAAAATAATTTTCACTCATGAAGAAGTTAATAAGCGTTACCATAGCTTGAAGTACAAAAAACTTCTTCCATTGTCTGTCATTGGCAGCATCCCCATTATCTCACCTGCTTTGTATTGAAATACAAATCATTGTATGGAAATGGTTGCTACAACATGGATGCAATTATCTCGAGCAGCGTTTTAATATAATACGGTATCTTATTTCAATCCTTGTCAGATGTGCTTGTCACAAATTGTCAGTCTATCTTTGGACGTAGTTGTACTTAGTGCTTCTTTGTGTAGATGATGGTATTAATTCAGGAATAGTAGCCTCGTTTATATGCAATCGTTCTAATTTTGGAGAATCATCATTACACCACGTATGATGATATATATGATGATATAATAAAACATACAACTGTGGTTTCAATCTTTATTACATTAAAATATACATATACCATTTCCATTAAACACTGTGCAAATAACATACGTTATATCAAAAAATAATAATCGTAAAAAATTACACTTCAAAATAAATACACAAATCGCATTGCTCAGTACATGTAGATTCCATCTCTCAGCTGCAACAAAAACAAGTAGTATTAATTTTGACGTACATATATGCATACTACTAATACATACAAAAAGTATAATATATTAATATGTTTGATGTTTGATAAGGTTACGAAGATAGAGCGATACCCACGGAGTGCACCTTGTATAACAGTAGCAAAGATATAACCTTATATACCCTATACAAATCCACATATAGTACTCTAAATCTTATGTTGTTAGAGCGTTTCCCAGGCATGGAGCGAAAACATTTTTATTGTCAAAAGTTACCTGTCAATTCAAGACTACAATTTTCCCTCATAGTCTACCGGAATCTCTCAAATAGATGAAGTTTACTCTATCTACAGATAATTGTACAACTTCCATTTTTTCTTTCGAGTAATCTAAAATAATAAATTTGAAGGCCGTAAGTGAAATTTTCCTCCTACGCATTTTCTGTCACATACTAATAGTCAGCCATACAGGAGTTGCTGGATGTGGTTCAATAACAAATATCCCTTGTGAGTACGAAACTTGTTGAATTCTATTTACTAATTACGGCGTCTAGATTATTGACACGGAGTTTTGAACAAAAAACTAAGTGTAATTGTGTATTCATGTATTTAGGGCGTTAAGTGGGCGGTTATGGCCTGCGGCGTCAAATTTGGGCTAAGGTAAAAAGAGCCTTGAACTCTAAGGGTTACTTTACCACCCTGGGCGAAAAGAAGTCTGTGTGCTAGGGATATTGTCATTTACGAAAGGACGGTATGGGCAGTAGATTCGTTTGCTTCATACAAAAGTCCAGGTCCGGACGGCGTATTTCCGGCCATGTTACAGCAGGGACGGAGTTCGGTTGTTCCTCACCTGTTGAATGTGTTTCGAGCATGTGTGGCCACGGGCTCCACACCTAGAATCTGGCGGCTGGCTAAAGTTGTATTCATTCCTAAACTGGGTAGAGCTAGATATACTGGCCCGAAGGATTTTCGTCCGATTACTCTTTCATCTTTTGTGCTTAAGACACTGGAAAGGATAGTTGATAGATACTTAAGGGATATCCCGCTGGAAAGGTCTGCCATTCATGCAAATCAGTTTGCATACCAAGCTGAGAAATCGACTGATCTGGCCTTACACAATCTGGTCGGTAGGCTGGAGAAGACTCTAGATCAGCGAGAAGTGGCACTCGTGGCCTTCTTGGACATTGAAGGTGCATTTAATTGCACCACAACCGACTCTATCAGACACGGGGTTGGATCAATCCTAATAGATTGGGTCCTATCTACTTTGGAGGGCCGGGCAGCAACAGCTATGCTGAATGACGTAAGCTGCAGCGTGAGCGTAGCTAGAGGCTGCCCTCAGGGCGGAGTTCTGTCACCCCTACTGTGGTATATCATGGTGAACGAACTCCTCGTTAGGCTCAGCAGTGTGGGTGTCTACGTACAATCCTATGCTGATGACGTAAGCATAGTAGTTAGGGGACGTTTTTGTAGAACAGTCTCGGAAATTATGCAGGACGCTCTGCGCTCTGTGGAATCGTAGTGTAGGGAAGTCGGTCTTTCTAATAATGCTGAAAAGACCGAGCTGATCCTATTCACTAGGAGAAGAAGACTTGACGGGCTGGTCATACCGACCTTCTTTGGGACTAGATTAATTCTATCCCAATCAGTGAAATATCTGGGAATTATCCTGGATTGCAAACTGAACTGGAGAGAGCATGTTGAATACAAGGTTAGCAAGGCTCGCTATTCAATGTGGGCCTGTAGACGTGTTGTCGTTGTAAGGTGGGGGCTTAAACCCAAAGTGGTATACTGGCTCTACACGATGATAGTACGTCCATCTCTCTTGTACGGCTCCCTGGTCTGGTGGCCTTGAATTAGAGCTAAGACAACCACGGCCAAACTCAATAAAATTCAGCGTTTGGCCTGTATTAGTAATACAAGCGCAGTGCGAACAACGCCATTGAGTGCAATGGAAGCTCTGTTGGATCTTCCACCGTTTTATCTGGTGATCCGCGGTGAAGCGAGAGTAGTCGCTCATCTGGGCCTCGAACTAGGCTATCTCTGCCTCGCGGTGGATACACCACTATTTTCAGGCGGAAATCTTTGCGATTTTGGCTTGTGTAACTCACATTTTGGAGGAGGGTGGGCCTGGGAGAAGAATAAAAATATTATCCGACAGCCAGGCTGCAATGAAAACACTAAGTGCCTGTAAGATTACTTCGAGTCTTGTATTGCAATGCAGAGAGGCTCTGGATTGCCTCGCAGCTAGGCATCCGGTATCGTCAATATGGGTACCGGGGCACGCTGAGATAAGGGGCAATGAGACGGCGGACACTCTGGCGAAGCCAGGATCAGCCAGCAAGCTCGTTGGTCCTGAGCCAGCTCTAGGAGTGACCGCGCATAGAGCTAGGAGCAAAATGGAGACGTGGGTTGCAAGACAACACTCTCATAAATGGAGAAATATCTCCAGACATCTCCGCCAGGCACGGGAACTCATTGAAGGACCCAGTGCTAACGATGGACGTTTCTGCTTATCTCTGGATAGAGCCAACCTAAGGTTGCTGGTGGGACGGTTGTCTGGCCATAACACGTTAAGGCGCCACCTGCACGTGATGGGGGTGGCTGAGGATCCCTTGTGTAAACGCTGCGTGGTAGAGGAAGAGACCTTGGCGCACGTTTTGAGTCGCTGTGAAGCTCTGAGCTACTATAGGCAGACTCTACTGGGGTCCATTAGTTTGGACCCTCAGGACGTCAAAGAGCTTGGACTCAAGGCGATTCTCAACTTCGCTAAAAGCGCGAGGCTTGTGATCTAAGAAATGTAGAGGTGCATAACGGCCCGCTTAAGCGGCCTATGCACTGGCTCCTTATCGTGGCCGGAATGCCTCTAATTTCAAGATTCATTCATTCATTCTTCTCAAGACAACAACCTCGATTTGCAACTGGCATCGAAACTGCACACTGTCAGCTAAGGAAGTATCTCTATAACATGATACTGAATAACATACTTATAGTATGTAGAGGATGTGAACAGGAAGATGATACAGTCAAGCATTCACTTTGCTACTGCGCAGCTGGTCTATCAATTTAAAAATCCTTTCTGTGTGAACGTTGGCCTTCTATGGCCAGCATAACGGAAATCCTGCTGTGGCGCATGACTACCTTCTTCAACGTCTGGAGTGGGTGACAATCCAAGCCTGAGTGACACCTGGAGAGGGCGCAAAAGGGGCCCAGTGGGGCATACGTGCTGTGATATTTCTTGATTGCCATTCCTCCTAGACAGATTACAGACAGTTCATGCAAATAGAAGCAAGTGATCTTGTTTTGACACGGAGTGGTTTGAGATACTCTAGACAAACTACCTCCAAAAAATCCTTTCAAAGAGAGATATAGATACACGATAAGAATCATATGCATGGTATAATCTCAATACCTATGAATCATGCACCTTAGGTCAAATTAGGAGAAAGTTGCGTACTTTGGAGCGAATTTACATGCCGTTGAGAAACTTGTAAGAAATACTGAAGTATTTGGGAAAAACAAAAAATTTGGCCAAATCTTTTTTATTTCATTCTGACTTTATTTTAAAATATATTAAAAAGTTAATGAAACTTTTCCATTGGCACTTTTCAGGAACTACATGTTGGTATTTTCAAATTTTGTACCTGAAGGTTCGTTTTTGAGAATCCATCATCAACTTTATCTCCTTATATGGCCCCAACATAGGTACACCCTGTGACTAATAGTATTTTTTATACAAATTCAATGATGTTTGACATGTTACATTTATTTTCTTGGTTATAAGGAAAAATGCGTTATTTCTGATTTTTGTATTTTTTTAGGTAGGCGTTGCAAACAAATGCTTTGCTTGACGTAAATACCTGTTACCGAGGATTATTATTGTATGTTATATTGTTAAAATTCCATTTCAAATTCCATTTCCTTAGAAATTTAAATAAATATGGATCAAGCAAAAAGCCTGTTACGTATTGAAAATAGTAATACTTAGAGGAAACTGGTGTTTTACGAGCAGTAGCTGAGATTTCTGAGATATCAACTAAGCAAAGAGAAAAATGTAGGAGTAGTAAAATCCTCAACACAATGTATTTTGAGTAAAAATAGATATCATCCCCATAAATTTAGGATTTGTCAAGAACTTAGACCAGGGGATAGCGAAAGGCGCCAGCATCTTTGTGAATGGTACACATGAGCGTGTGAAGAAGATTTTAATTTCCCCTCAAAAATAGTCGGACGAGAGCATGGTCACTAATAGTGGTATCTTTAATTGCTACAACACTCATCTTTGGGTTCAAAAGAAATATGTGGGCAAAAAAGTATCCAGGCATCATGAACGTTTTGGTTCTTAATAAGTGGTGTGGAATTCTAGCGACCAAAATTTTAGGTCCATTTATTTACCACAACACAATAACCGCAGAACGGTACCATCAATTATGGTTGCAACATGATGCACAAGACTGCTTAGATAATTTACCTTTGGCACAGGTTAATAGCTGTTGGTTTCAACAAAACGGCGTTCTGCTCATAACTCTGGGCAAGTTCGAGAGTATCTTTCTCTGCGATTTCCGGGAAGGTGAATTGGAACCTCAAGTGAAGTGTCTCGGCCAGCGTGTTGCCCGCATTTGACTCCTCTTGATCTTTTTGTTTGGGGTCTTATTAGAATCCAAATTTATCGGCATACTTTTGGAACTGAGCAGCAGTTACGAGAATGTAAATATAATGGAAGTATTTAGTTAGCCTAAAATAGTGTCAATGAAAAAGTTCCATCAGTCTTTAGATATTTTTCAAAATTAAGTCAGAAAGAAATAAAAACGAATTGGCCAAATTTTAGTTTTTCCGAAATACCTCAGTAAGCTATGACATTTTTACAAGTTTCTGAACTGAATGCAAATACTCCACAAAAAACGCAGCATTTTCCTAATCTAACATCAGCTGTTGACATCCCAATGCATTGGATCCTTATCGTCGACACCCTGTATTTCGATTGCATACTACATACTATGTGCAGTTATAATGATCAGTTCCTCAGTGTCTACCTTAAATAACAAATAACTATTCCACCTTCTGCTGCGTATTCTCAAACACAACCGCAATGTTAGTGACATTTAATTACAACTCCATTTTGCCTGTCTCTTTTTTTTTAGCATCGTAAGTTGCCCTAGGCATTCCTTCTGGGGCATCCACCCTGAGTAAACACGCACCTAATTTACTTTCTACGGCATCTCCGCATCGTGCGCTGCAAAATCCATCATCTTGGTTGAAATGAATAATAGAGATATTGTTTCAACCCAGAAAATGAGACTATATATTGGAAGCTGGCGAAAATGGTATAAAGTGTCTGAGGAAAGTAGAAAGATTGAATCCAGCATCGGATAGTATTTGTGAGATGATCATTGTTATTGACATGGTGTATACACGCGAGTGGTAAACTTATACTATGACCTAGTTTTTCCATTCTAATTTAACTTTCAGTTTGACAAACTCTAATCTGGAAGCTTAAGTGGCAATTGCTCGTCATCTCGTTTTCCAAATTTCTGTTAACTGTCGGAAATCTGTTGCGGGAACGCTACTTCTTGGATCTTGGATCCCAGCTGTATGGTCACAGTTGTCATTTGTTGACGCTCAGGGTTTGTCTCGTGTAACTCGAAAGAGCTCGTGACACTCTTAAGTAAAATGCACTCCGCGCCACTGGAATAGGACCAATAAAGTTTCCCTAGTATTCGAGATATACTGTAGATTAAGTAGTGAGACTGGCAATGTAATGTTCGATCTAGCAACACTGGGCGGCTTGGAGGGGAGACAGGAGAATATGTAATCCGTTATCAGTACAAGTTTGAATTAGTTCGAATCATTTGGTTGTCCGTTGATTTTTTTGTGAAACATTTTTTCTATTGCATTCTAAAAATGAGTGACATTAATTTCGAGCAACGGTGTGCTATCAGGTTTTGCTTCAGACTTGAACATAGTGCAACGGAATCTCTTGATAAACGTTAGCAGGCCTACGGAGATAGTGTTTTGACAAGAGCCTAGATTTTTCGGTGGTTTAAGGCATTTTCAGAAGGGAGAGAGTCGATGAACCACGAAATGGGAGGCCTTTATCTTCAAGAACCGATGAAAATATCGACAAAACCCAAGATCGCTTTCTAAACATTGTTCCTTGAATTTGGATGAACTGTTTTGTTGATTATCTGAATACGCAACTTTGCTCCTATTTAAGTGAATTCGCATCCCTTGAAGTTTCCGATATCCCAATGGTGAGGGTCGAATTTAAAATAGCCTGTATAGGGAAAATATTATTTTCACCCCAGAAGAAACAGTCACTCCCTCTCCGTAGACACAGGTGAAAAAAAACTGTATCACAAAATCTCCAGAATTCATTATTTTGTTTATTCTTTCATCAGCTATATCCGAGTTTTATTAAAAGACATTCACAATACTTTGTACATTCCTCATGCATAATCACTGCAGATGTTTATTCAGAATTCTTGCTATGTATTTACTTCTTCAACTTGTCGTTCGATGTGTGGGATCATATTTCTTCGAATTTATGTTTATCCTTTTTATATGAGAATTGAATGGTAATTGCTGAGTAAATCTACTTGAAATTTTTGGTTGCTGTTATGGACACTTTCTAGTCCATGTTTTCTTCTCTAAAGGAAAATTCGGGCACATTTGGACAGTTGGACGAAAAATCCCAGATCATTCTGGTTTACAGCAAATGAACCCCCAACTTTTTCAAAATTGTCTACTCCATTCTGAAAAATTTTACATTCGAATAATTATTGTACTTGATTTCGAGCTCTGACAATTTACTGGCAAATTATCTGCTGACCGATTTGACAGTCATCAAACAGCGGATTAATTGTCGGTAATCGGTCTGACCTCGCTCAGCCAACTCGTAACGTTCTCAGATACGCAATTAATACAGCCAGTGACGTGTCAGTGACAGCTAACTGCGTAAACTAGGTCATGGCTTGTCGCCGACTATCAGTTTGCTGATTGTCAGCAAACAGGCTGTACGAACAAACCATATTAGTCACTAAATCTCGAAACTTAGTTCGCCCATGAACGTTATGCTTCCCAGAGAGGGAGTTTATGCACAAATCATATCAACTAAAGCATATCTTAGAATTGGGCCTCATTAAGGGAGTTTACGTCATATACATATGTAAAAGAGAAGCGATACACATCAATTACGAAATCTTGAAAGCTATTTGGCCTATGAACATGAAATTCCGCTTATTATAAATATGTTATTCCAGCTTATAGACAGAACATGTCAGTCAAGAATGGATTTCACAACAGCGCTGGAATAACGGAGCTAAGGGCATATATATATATACATATATATATTAAAATAATTCCGTCCTAATCGAACCTCATCAGTTAAGTTTTTTATTCGTCGACTATGTGTTCCCTTCACTGTTGTTTAAAGACAATTTCAGCAACAATCTCGCCGACTTAGTAAGTAAATATTTTTCTCCTATTTGTTATTTGTTGCTATTGTCAATAATTGTTTCCAGCTCCAGACGATGAAGACATAGATCATCGAAAGCTTAAGAGTTTAAGTTATAGGAGTGTACTTTTGTAATAATTTGCCTTCTACCCAAAGAAATTAAAGAATATATATATATATATATATATATACAAAAGTGAAAAAATACACACTAATCACGAAATCTCGGAAACTATGAACATGACTTTTGGTAAAAAGGCCAGTTCATGGAAAAGGAGTGTAAGCTAAATACGCATTTTGCAATATTCCTAGATTAAGAGAGGGCTGGGGACAAAAATGTGTAAAGGCGAAAAGATACACATTATTCACGAAATCTCGGAACTATTTGACACCAAACATGAATTTTGGCAGTGATGTCGCCTATGGACATGGTACTCTAGCTAAGAACGGATTTTGTGGCAGTCCTGGAATAAGGGACCAAAGGGAACTTACAAGTTTGCTTGAGACTGTTAATATAAAAAAAATAGCAACGATGAGGTTCTGTTTAGGGTAGACATAGATTAAGAATGGATTGTTTTACCGCAAATTTGGCGATTAGGTAACTTTTACAATGCAAAATTTGGTTTAATTTAAAACGCTTATTTTAAGAAATTGGCAATATTATTAATTTGTTAGCTTTTCGCCCCTCTATTTAACCTTCGGAAAAAACGTTACTCCTCTGGAGGGCAGAGAACTAGATTTTTGACAAAGCATTTTCGTCATTTTATTTCCATAATTTCTTTCTTGGAAATTTGGATTCATTCATACACCCTTATTTTAAGGATTTGAATATATTATTCGTTCTGGAATATGTAATATGTTCCATTTATAACAGTCAAGTGGAAATGGATGAATATACTTACATTAAATTCCTTGTTTATGTATCTTCTGAAGTATCTGTTTGGATACCAAACGCGTAGCCTCCATGGCCAATCGTAGTAGTCGTATGACCTGTGCACCCTGTAGTCAGGGATAAAGGGGTCTGTAAAGTTATGGACGTAGTCAAACCCATGGACGGGGTCGTATCTAATTTTCAATGGCATCTAAAATCACATAAAATCAGCAAAGTAACAAAATACAAGAATCGAATTTGAACGGTCCGAGGAAAAGCAGTGTGTAAGGAACAAATAAGGCTTTGACGTAAGCCTCTATACATGGTGGCACAACGTAAATTGAAAGTAGTTTTATGAGGAAGCTGGGAAAGATATCAAACATATGTTTAGGTGGCAACCTTGATGTGTTACTAGTACATATTTTAAAATTTACTTTAATGTTTCATAACTTCGTGGCATGGCAAACATGTATTTTTTAAATAGAATATCCTATATTTTATTGCATATTTAGGATACAGCCTCTAAAAACAAGATGTTGGATATCATATAACACATGGTTTTGCTTGTCATTTGTTTAGATATTTACTGAAATATCTCACGGCTCGCAGCTCCGACATTTTTTATGATATTTTGATAAATGTTGGTTCATCAACTTGGGTAACACGATTCTCTATTGTTTTTAACTCGTAGGACTAATATCATTGATGTTTAATAAAACCTAGCAGATCTCAGAACCCCTTCTAGTCCGCTGGCGGTTTTATAAGGAGAGGCGGACTGATCAATTGGCGAGCAAGATCTCCCGATCTGACGCATCTCGACGTCTTTCTCTGGGGCCATGTAGAAGGATAGGTTTACCAGGAGAAACCTACAACACCCGAGAACATGAAACGTCGTATAAGCGAGTCGTTTAAGTGGATACCTAGACAACCCCTTTTAGATGCGCAAGATAATATCAACAGGCGTCTGGCTTTGTGTGCCTTGCACCAAGGAATATATTCAGCAATTTATTAACGATTAGGGTGATATTATTTTTGTTGTGTTAACAAAAGCTATTGGTTTGATGGAAGATTTGATTTCATGTTTAAATACAAGATGTATTTGGCTTTTCTTGAAATTAATAGCAGTAACGTTTGGAAAAAGTCGTATACATCTTGTATCGAAAAGAAAAGATCACCAAAATCACAGGGTGTTCAATTTGAAATTTTTGGGAAAATGTCTATTTTGAGTTTTGAGATACTCTGTATCAATAAAAAAAATTCAGCATTTTTTCCAGATCAGCTTAAAATAGATGATAATGAAATTTTGGTGAACTGAGATTTATCTAAAAATCTTCAAAAATGGCGGAGCTGCGAGCCGTAAAAGTTGGACAGTTTTTCAGACGTTTGGCCAGATATCTAAGCAATTGACAATAGAAACGATATGATATCAAACTTCCTTTTAGAAGCTCTGTTCAAATATGATAAGATAAGGGTTGTCGTCAAAATATATATGTTTGCTAGGGCATAAAGTTATGAAACACTCTGTATATATTAAAATCATTTAAAAATATGCACTAGTAATATATCAATGTTGCAACAAAATCAGATTTTTGATGTTTTGACGCTATGTATACTATATCTACATCAAGCAGTGTCAACCCACACTATACACAAAGCTGCTATTTAAATGTTACAAGCTTGTTTTGAAAGACAAGCTGAATTGAGTTTGTCAGTAAACTAATTTCAGATAAGTAATTTTAGCATATGACGAAGTTGAGATTTAAGCTGATAATCTATAGAAGGAATCAAGTAGATCGACCCAGTACTTCATTTTCTGGCATTATACATATTATATCTATAAAATATCAGAATTCAAGATTTCTAAGAATTATTTGAGGAACCTGCTGAATTGTAAATTCTGCTTTTGAATTATTCTTAGTATGACCAGATTTCAGAAGTTAATATGAACTACACTTTTGAAATAATCAGAATCTCAGATACTTCAAAAAAAAAGAGAAACGTTCATGTTGCGCTGTATGCAACGATTTTCAAAAATATGCCAGCATTCTCTAGTAGGTTCATATTATTTTTTTCATACAATTAGAGGTCTCCAATACTGGAACATGTTATTCGTCCAAAAAAATCTTGCAAGTAGATCTTGATCTGCCAACGCATGCCTTAACAGCATCTCGTCCAATGCATTGAAGTTCGAGAAAAAATGGCCAATGAAGAGCTATATAATGTGTTGATTACGTTCAAAAATACTGGTTTTCTGAACTGATGACGCGATGTATCTGCTTTATTTAAATAAGTTCTAGGTTTGATATATGCTTGAAATCCTTTTTTATATCTTTTTTTCTATCATTTCCGTTGTACTAAGTTCTTTATGCGGTACTTTTCAAAAGTCGCCCGTCCCCTATACTGGGTAATTTTAGCAAGCTTACCTATATATTCAGATGCCTGAATACTATATTTTAGCATAAGAATAACAGTCGACCATTTTTTTCATATAAGATTAGTGTTCATTTTGAAACTCATTAACAGTACTTCATAATACTAGAATATAAATTTACTACGAAAGGATCTATTTGAATATGCCATAAAATATGAGAAATTTAGCTTAGGTGTAAGTCTGGAAGTAGTACTCGTAATTGCAGATCGATGCGTATTCAAGACTGCCAGGTACCCTTTTTCTAACAAAAAATCAACAATTTTGCAAGACGACGGCCTTTTAGTCACCTTTGTGTAAGTTTATAACGCAGGTAAAACATATGATGATAAAATGATCCAGATAGTTGATAACAATTTTATTATGTCTGACAATACGAGGTTTGTCTGGAAAATACGTATAAAAAATTCCTGGCATCGTGTCAAGGCGTTGTGGAGGGGTGGCCCGGTGGTTCTCTCTCTATGCAATCCCCTCTATGCTCAATCCCCAAAACAATCGTCCACGAAATTCTGACAGAAAAACTTGAAACGAAAAAATTTTGCGCGAAAATCGTTCCGAAGCTCTTGACTCCAGAACAGAAAGCAAGGAGGATTGCTTGCTGTGAGGATTCGTTGGAAGCAGAGGAAAGGGGGGACTTTCTCAACCGGGTCATCACCGGAGACGAGTCATGGTTGTATGAATTAGATGTGGAGCTGAAATCTCAAAGCATGGAGTGGAAGCAAGCAGAGAAACCGAGAACAAAAAAGTAAAAAAAATCAATTGCCAATGTGAAAACAATGTTGATTGTCTTCTCTGATTCTCGGGACATTGTTTACCAGGAATTCGTCCCTCTCGGCCAGCCAGTGAGCGGCAATTTCTACATTGAAGTTTTGCATCGTCTCAGAGCTTATGTGCAGGTGGATCCTTCATCACGACAACCCGTCGCCTGGAGGATGTGGCCTCCACATCAAGGCAGAAACGACACGGCATATGAAGAGCCTCACAATTGATGACATTCAGTGATCCTATCAACAGTGGAAATGGCGTTGACAGAAGTGCATGTTGTCTCAGGGAGAGTACTTTGAAGGAGACCATATTGAAATACCTGAACAATTGTAAAGTAAAGTGATTATTCCATTTTTATACGTATTTTCCGGACAAACCTCGTATAGCTGATAAAATTTCATATGAAACATTGCGAGGGGCTAGCCACAGAAAAGAAAATAGAGTATCGTTTCGTAACGATTACTGTCCAAGTTGCATAAATAGCTCATGCGTCACTGAAAAGTATGTTCCAATCTAACACTAGGAGCGCTATTTACATAACATGTACAAGAAATTATATCATTTAACAAAAGATAAATGACAAGAATTTACATAATAAATAACATGGAGTCTCAATTAAACCTAGAACTCATTAAAATAAAGCCATGCCGCGGCAAGGGTTCGAAAAACCAGTACTTTTGAACGTAATTAGATCAGTATGACCATTTCTCTCGAAATAAAGACTAAAGACCTACCCACAGGACTTTTTTGGACGAAATCTGTGTTCCGGTGCTGGAGTGCCCTCCTTGATAGTTTTGTTGAGATTCATACAACAGTTGGAAAGCCGACATAGAGCCTGTCAAATGTGAGTGACAGATGACAGTAGATGTCCTAAAACATCCGAAAAATGTTTTATTCTAAATTTACGAGTCTTCCAAATAACGTAGAACAGCTTAAAGTCATAGTATTCTACCCCATTTTCGATTTTTGGACAAATGTTTTTGGGACCTACATCGTAAAAATAGAGTCATTCACTGTTTGGATGTGGACTGCTTGTTTATCTGTTGGCCTATTATTCGGTTTATCAGTCTCACTGGAAAAAGGCTGATTAAACCTGACGAAGGTAATGCTGCTTGATTTTTGTAAATCAATGCAGGGTAGTAGACCTTCAAGGAAAAACAAAATGGTCTGAGATAATCCCACCGTTATTTTTTTCATAAATTTTGGAAGCAGTCAGAAGTCTATGGCGTGAGATTGATTATCTTATAAAAAACCTATATTTTAGAAGGAGTCAAAAATGGAAAGCTTGAGTTTTTAGAAAATCTGCCAGCGATGTTGTTCGTTGTTTTTTGAGTTTTTTGAGATTTTCTAATATAGTGATAAAAAACCTATAAAACTTTCTAAAAGTTTGAAATTCACCAAGCCCAATCTTTGAGATACTTATAATTTGAATAACGCTCAAAAGACATTTGTGTGTCAAACATTTTTCATTTTATTGCAGCGCAAGGAATAACACCAGGAGTATCAGAATCCATATGTATGCGTTACCTGAATACACGAGTAGTGATATTTGAATCTGTAAGCAGTACTAAGTCGATCATCTTGACGCAAACCTTTTAATTGCAGAAGTCCACCGTTACTATTTTTCGGTTGTTCGTTTGTTGTGTGTTGTTCACCAAAAGATGCACTGACCCATGATGAAAGTTAAAAATTGATCTCTAAAAAATAATTACGTTCTCTGAAAATGTACAATAGCTGCATGTTTTCAATATTCAATTAAAGATTTTCATTAAATGGAACATTTGCTTTAATATAGCTATATTTATACAACTGCATCTCAAGATATATGATACAATATTTCATAAACTTAAGCAAAGCTTAGAACAATTGTTAAACAAAACAAGCTCAGATGTAACGTAGTAAGCATACAGAATTTACGAGAAATAATCTCATGAGTCTGTATCTCTGCTTGATTATTCCTTATGAACAGCTGCTATATTCGGACCTCTCAAACCACGTCTACTTACGTTTGGAAATGGGATGCCACTCACTAGAACAACAGCTGGTCGGAGTGTGTTGTGTAGTCGAAGATACTGTGTTATGTTCCCGTGGGTAGACTGGGAATCGCGAATGAAGCCGGTCAGAGGCGTAGCGTGGGCGAGTATTAAAATATACGAGGAATTTCTAAATGGGGAGAACTGCGGTTACGAGGTGGTAAAAAGGAGGTAAAAGTCTTATTGGCACTGATATTGCAATGCGTGAATATCTAATTACAAGGTTGCTTACTGTCAATGTGGGGAAGTAATTGTTATCCGTATCATGTAACCTATAAACACAATTTTTGTACGAACGTTTTTATATATCAAGTTTGTTTTTTAGACGTTTCTACGATTAATTTCGTATGGAAAATGTAAAAATATGAGCCAACATGATGGCAAATATTTCAAAAAATCGATAATGGGTTACGTTAATGCCCATTAAGATTCATAAGACCAGTTTTTAAATATTTTTATCGATTCGGTTTTAGAAAAATTTTAATAATAAGGAAAATTACAATTTTTACCGACAAAGCCTATGCAAGTGTTATAAGAATTACCTCAGAAACAAGGTGGTAAATCTAAAAATGTGTGTCTACACAATGGCTATGTCATGTTAAATTTCAGGCATGCTATGAATTGCAACCAAATCGACTCGACAACACAGATTTTCCATGTGGAATATGTTGCCAAAAAATTTAGATGTTAGCTGTGTCCTTTCAGAGTACTCGGAAATAGCAAGAATAGATAAAACACCTTGTTACTCGTTATGAGAGGCTAGATACATGTTATTCCAATAAATGGTAATTCAAAATTACCTCAATAATCTCAGCCTACAACTGATGTAAAACACTACAATTATATAAATAACGTCAAGCATGCAGGTCTTTATATCTATTTATAAATTATCCTGTAAGGATAAATGTCTGCATTAGAGGAATAAATATATAACGTGCCAAAAAACCTTAAGGCCTCTTTAATTCAAAGTAGTTGGTTTTCCAAAATTTTCGTAATCCATCAGGTACCTCTAGTTTCGTTAAGATTATTCAAAAATGTACGTCTGTGAAATTATTATAAAGTCCAACTCCTAAATATATGCCTCAAAACTTGAAAACAAACTGTGATTTCACCAGTCAGTTGGTATTACTCACGATTGGTTAATTTTAGTAGTATTATATATACTTGTGTTATGATCTACATGTTTCGTATACTTTTTCGGTCAAAACCAATTTATATCCTCCCACATTATTCGACTGAAGTTATAATTAGTTGTTGCATCAATATGCATTTTTAGATTTCTGTTATATTTATTTAGTCTCTATAGTAAAAATTTATGTTCTACTATCAGCTGTTTGTAAGAGAATACGATAATTAAATCTTCTACTTGATTTAAAATTTCAGAATATATTTATAGACTTATTCTTACATTTGCTCACACTATTTGAGCGAGTTTGTAATTTTTCATTGCACCAATCCATGGAGTTTGTCATTTAATATACATTCAAAAATGATATTCGATAGAAACGTTAAAGCGCAATGTTTTTAAAACAACCCTTTGCATTGTGTAGATAATGTACGACAACGCAGGACAAAGCTTGTTTTTTGACTGATCCAGGACGTTTTGAATCTTTATTTTACCCTCATCCAGCCTTCAAACAAGTAATGCAAATTACGCATGACTAATAAGTAATATGGAGGCTGTCTGATAGCTACTGCAAGAATATTTTTGATAGGTTCTTTCCGATAATGACCTCTGATGGTGCGCAACAGTTATTTATCGTGGACCAAACCAGTAGAATATCATTAATTTGTATGATTTGGCAGCTGCTGATAGGCATACATTCTTTTTTGGTTCAAACCTGAGGCGTACAGAAACATCCCCAATTCGATGCCCATCGGATACTGTGAGATACCATGCGAGCACCCGCAGCCAAATTGGGAGACACGTTTGACAAATATACTACGTGACATATGAAGTGCAACACCAAGAATTATTTATTGAATTTTGATAGAACCTTGTAAACATATTTGCAATCATGGAAGTATACGCTGATAAAATGTTGAAGGCATTCCAAGCTATACTTTTTTGTAAAGATTTTTTTGTCATATCAAGATCCGAAAAATATGAACATGTTTACTTGATATTCAGTGATTCTTCTGTGTTGGTTCCAGTCGTTTCATTGTTGTTTCATTGCATTATCACGCCTAGAGTTCGCAGATGCGCTAATTTTACTCAACATTCCGAGTTTGGGAGGGGTCGGATATCTGGGTTACGTGAAGTCGGATTTTCTTTCAGAGAAATCGCTAATTGGCTTCCCTTTTTGCATGTTTCCACTGTTTTTGACGACTGTTAATGCATGACAATCTAGTTTTGTCTGTATATCACGTACAGGGTGTTGTACATAATACGTACCTGTAGAAATGTACCGATTTTTGTTATTTTGCAAAAAAAGATCATAAAACGTATTACAACTGGTTCATCATCTTTTGTTACATCAAAAACAATTTTTCACAATTTATGATCTATAAATCCACACCAAATGTAAACAAACAGCGCATTATGCATTTCTGGGTCCTAAAACATCGATATTTGTTAAAGTATCCGCAGATAAGTCAGAATCAAAAATACCTATTTATGAAAATATATCTCCAAACATTGTTATATTTTCTTATTATTTCTATTATTATAACACGTCCGGGATATCAACTGCTTTTAAAGTGATCTGCAGTGTTGCCGGACCGGAAAAAAAACGGAATCTGTAAATAGTGTCGTTGAGTTCGGTATAAGGTAAATGCCGTCCCAAGATCAGTGGTAGATCAAGGACCTTTGGGTCATGAAAAACGTTTGTTATTGTATTGAGTGCGCACATAACATGTTTTTTGAGGGGATATTTCTATATTACAACTTCTAAAATGTGCATACCAGTCGCTCTTTCAAAGTACTTTGCAAACCATTCTGGAAACTCCTTTTTCGATTCTTGCTTATGAGATTGTGAATATTTTTCTGTTTTACCCCTTAACTCACCTCTCATTTCAATTAAATATTTATTTTGAGAACAGACAGGTTTCGGTTTCTTTATCGCTTGTCCGGTGATGAGGTAATAACGGTAATCTACTAGTCTGTACTTTTTGTATGCACAAAAATCAATTCAGGGCAAGCGGACTAAGGGATGAGGATGTGCGTTCGTAATCATAGGCAACCCAAATCTACCCCTCTCATGTGCCCGACTGCCTGAGTGTGTATCCATATGTATGATTGATTTGGGGCATAAAACTATTAGTACTCCATGAAATTGACTTTTAGTTTTATTTTTGGTTTGAGCTCTTTTTCGGCAAGTATAGAAATATTTAAATTACTTTGAAAAATCGTGGAGAATGATAAAAAAAAATAAAAATAAAAAATAAAAATACCGAAAAATCCGTTTCAAGTCCACGCATAGACAATCTTAAATTTGCAATATGAATTTATATTCTAAATTCTATCCATATCCGTTCATATTCGTCAATATTTCATTTGAAGCTCTTATTTGTCATAAGATTTCAACAAAATGTAAGATAGTAAAGACAACACCGCACCCTGCAGCCCAGTTGACAAGAACGACAAGCTGCCAAGATTAGGGATGTCTAGGTTTAGATCCACGAAAAATATCGTTATGTATCGTTTCTTATCGTTTTAGGAAGTATCGATACTCTAAAATATTGGAATAAAATTATCGATATCCAGCGGAAGAAAACAAATAAGAAAAGTAATCTGAAGTTAGTCACTCTTTCTGACACATTCCGGATCGAAAGATGACAATACTCGTGAAATGTATCGATATACCCAAGTGTCGTATATAAAAATATAGATTCAAAATATCGGGTATGGGAAGCAAAAGTATCGATACTTCTAAATATAGGATCGTATCGAGCATCCCTACTGTCAAGATGTATAACCCGAGGTACCGACGCAGCTATTTTGGGGCGTCATGGAAATAATTTTAAATTTTCATTTGCATTTTTTCAAGAGTTGTGCAACGATTTTGGTAAAAATTCCACGAATAGTCTTATAACGCATAGTAGAGTATATATTTCAACAGTTGGCGGAGCGTACTCCACTGGGACCAGGGGGGTGAAACGGGATATAATGCACAATCTGGCAACCATGTCGCACCCTCAAAAAATAGCCGCTGACAACCACACAAGTAACCGTGTTGTCATTGAATAGCATGGAATTAAATTTTCCTCCGTGTATATGTTTTTTGACTGGGACCAGGGGTTGACGGATCCCACACATGTGTCACTCGTTGGAGAGTTTTGAAATGTAATAATCAGCTGTTATTCAGTTCCTGAACAACAAAAAATATTCAACTTTATGGATGTATGGATATCAAAAATCCTTAATGGTTTTGTGGGAATATCAATCTAAGGTGCCATAATGGTTCTGATGAACGGCAAGTAACTGGATGAATGTTTGGAAGCCAGGAATATCTATGAAATTTTTGGTAGAGTCTGTCATCAAGTAGGTGTTTAATGGCTAGCTGTAAGAGGTTTATAAGAAGAAAAAAAAACACGGGAGGTGATCTTAAATCAGTAAAATTGAATATCAATTGAAGAAAATAATATAAACATGAATAAAAAATCAACAATAGTAATTAAAACATGAATTTTATTTCTTTAAATTTTGACTGAATTATTATATGTAACTTCTTAATATTCAATAGGCTGATGATGCTTCAAGGACAAGCTGTCATCTCATACTTTGACTTTGACATACTTTTCAACATTTCATAGGTATTGGTTGCTGAAATTTGTTTATTGGATATTGAAGCTCGTTCGCTGTATTTGACGGACTGTTACACTATAGGTAGAGAATAACGGACTGCCATTATTGGCAAAGTATTTTTATATCCTGAGGCGCCTAGCACCGAGGGACATAATGAACAAGAACAATATTCTTCTTCTCCACCAGGGTATATATAGACCTATTTTCACTGCTATGGTATCTTACCACATTTAATTGGGCTATACTTTCGAATATACCATGTCTAACAATTCCCTTAAAGGACATGAGAAGGATGCCGCTGCTGCATTATACTGTCCGACAAAGATAGAAACTTTGTACGTTGACACATCATTCATTTTGAAATTTTCCAATGTATCAAGTAGCATAAGACTTTGAAGCTGTCTGTCAAGATGTCTACTTCCCTACTATATAATATGATAAGCACGAAAGTGTGGATGTTTGTTCAAGAGATATACCATAGTCTGGAGTAGCACATAGGATGTCTTTTATCTCAGGAAATAACTTTAAAATGCCTATTTTGCGGTCTACATCCAAAACGGCTTAGTGGACTTTAACATGAGTAATCTGGCGCGAAAACGCTCAGTGACTGGTTCGACCGAAATGAGTATTGGTACATAAATAAGGAATTTTAATCATATATTTAATACATTTTGACATTCGGTTTCTTGATTTTGATTTGTTTGGTGTTTTGGTTTACTTCAGGTACAATACCTACTTATATGACAACTGTGAAAGTGGGTATGCAAGTGTTATAATCCTAAACCGATTTTGATGAATTTTAGCATATATACAGATTAAACTTTGGAGACGGACATTAGGCTGCCTTTTGTTACGAAAATTAAACTTGAATGGGTTGGAATAGGGGGCAAATGGAAAAACTATTATTTTGGAAATTATACCTCTAAGGGCGAAAAGTGGGGATTGATACTTTTCAAGTTTTTGTTGGAAACCTCTACTTGTAGTGTTTCAAATTTGGTCGGGCTGAAAAAAAATTGTGATTGTTTTTACAAGCCTTTGTTCAACTTGT